TGAGATCATAAACAGACATTCAGGAGCTTTAAGGCCATTTAGAGCTTTAAAAACCATCAGCAGAGCTTTAAACTCTCTCTAACAGATCCAGGCGGTCAGTGCAGTGTGTAACGGGGTGATATGAGCTCTCTGTGTTGGTGCTGTGAGGATCCATTCTGCTGTTTTCTCCAGTAAGAAGATCATTACAGTGATCAACTCTGCTGAACTAACACAGCTATGAGTTTCTCTCTGAGAGAGAAAAGCCTGAACTTTAGTGATTTTCTCACATGATTAAAGCTGATTTAGTGACTGTTTACATGCAGATTAAACAGAGCTCAGAGTCTCAGATCTCACCCAGGTTTCTACTGCAGGTTTGGTGTTTGAAGATTAAGAGCCGAGATTTCAGATTTCTCATAATCTGAAGTATTGATTGTGTTGTAGAAAACTGTGTGAGAAATATCTGACACACAGCTGGTCAGTCTGTCTACAGAGTCTTGATCATCAGAAGGATTGGAAATATATAACTGGGTGTCGTCAGCATAGCTATGAAAATTGATATTATGTTTCCTAATGACATCACCTAGAGGCAGCATGTCCAAAGAGAAAAGCAAAGGCCCTAAAACTGAACCCTGAGGGACGCCATGAGAAATGACAAGTCTTTTTGATGAATGATTTCCAAGTGAAACCATGAATTGTCTATTACCTAAATATGATTTAAACCTTTCTAAAACTGTGAGGAGGCCGACCCAGCATTCAAGACGCTGGATTAAAATCTTGTGGTCAACAGTATTAAAAGCTTTTGTGCATCAGAGCTGAGCCTGAGGTCATTCACAACACGAATGATTACAAATCATTGTATTCACAGTGTTTGAGTATTTTTTAAAATGTAGCACTGCTGATTCTTTTCTCTGTCAAATGTCTGAAAAAAAAATATTGTGACATATTATGTCCTTCAGTATCACAATAATATATTTGTGCCATACTGCTTACCCTACTTTATAGATTTCTGTGCATTCTGATGGATTTGCTTTCCTGAGTATGTTCACATAATGAACATAATATTTTTATTACTTTGATTTCTACTCAAGTCTATTGTCACTAAATTCTATCACAATCATTAACATTTAGTCCCTAATTCTCTTTGTTTGGGTTTGATTTCATTCTGTTGCGCTGGTTCAGCTCCTGTTCTGCTTTAATGCTGATCACTCTTCTCACTTTGGAGCTTTAGTGTTTTATGTTTGACCAAAATAAAAGAATAGAGCCGTAAAAACCTCAGTTTCTGTACAGATTCTTAATCTCTTACTGGAATTGTCCGTTCCACCTTAAATGCAGCGGTACGATGTAAGGAGGAATAGAAAAATTTCAGCTTCATAGTTCCTGAGCTGGTAGATGTAAGATGTTCTAAATAAGTTCTGCTGCATTTCTGCATCTTATCAGTACTTAAGAGCACTTTGAGCTGCTTGTTTGTACTTTTACTCCAGTTGTTGTTAATTGTAAAGGCAGGTTTAGATTGTCTTTAGGACACTTTGAATTCATCTGCACTCTATTGCACTGTGTCAGCACAGGAACCTCAGCGTGACTGAATAATCCGCTGTATTTAACTCAGCTTAGAGCAGCTTTGTGATCCTGACACTTAAGAATGAACGTCTGCTTTGCACGAACGCGCTCAGTGAGTGAACACTGATCAAGCAGTGAAATATGTGCATGCTTTGTTGTAGATTATGTTCATGTTTAACTCAAAGTAAAGCTGAAATATATGTGCAGTGTGATGGATTTCCTTCTCCATGGGATGAAAATTATCTTTACAGAAATGTTTATAATAAATTCTCCAGGTAAGAAATGCATCCCGTCAATTTACTACAGTTTACTGCACTTAGACTGTACAGGCGTCTATAATAACTGTGTTGTATATGCACTGCAAAAAAATGACAGCAACGAAAACATCTTAAATGACATCAGTATATCTAATATTTGCTGTAAGAATACTACGAGGTTATTGAACTTATTTCTAGACATTTTTTGACTTTTTAAACTAAAGTGATTATATGCAGCAAATGTGTTTTATTAATTTCACCTCAGCTCATTTTACTTGTTTTGAGAAAAAATAAAGATAATATTGCTAATTTTAATAAGTAATGTTTAAAACAAGTAAAATAATCTGCCAATGGAATGAAACACTTTCATAAGATAAAACCACTTACAAGTTAAAAATGTCTAGAAATGAAGCAAAAAAATCGTACAATATTCATACAGTCATAATGAGAGATATTAGACATACTGACTACATTTAAGACGCCTTCACTCACTTAGATATCAATGTTTGCAGTGTGTCCATTCTTCAGTATCCCTTTGATCAGAGCTTGTGGGTCAGCTTGGGGAACCCAACACGCTTCCTTGCTCTTTGGCGCCCCTTCTGGTGCAGTACTGGCCACCTATGGAGATTTCAGCTCAGTTACTCTGATCTGTCATGGATTTGCATCACCAGAGAGCTGGAGATCCACCAATAAAGCGCTGATAAAGTCTTTAAGAAAGCGTAAATGCATAGAAAGGGGGGTGAGAACTTTGCTGAGCCAAGATTCTGTTACTGTAAATGTCTGCCAGATTCTGTTAGACAGCATGTTGGGGAATATTACAGCTGCAGCACGTTGCAAAGTTTTTCAGAGGAATCCGGGCAGAGTTACAGTTTCTAGGCTATGAAGGACCACCTGGGTGGACCGGTCTGCTACAGTGCCACCCTGAGGCAGAGCAGTGCTGCAGCTCTAGTTAGTTAAGAACCCCAGAGACAGAAGCTGATTGTGGGGGAAGCAGATAAACAGTCAGCTTCACTGAATTTACCAGAATTTAGATTCTGGGACATTTTGTGTCCCAGAGGTTAACTAGGGGGTCCAGGACCCTCCAGGACGCCATGTATTTCGCACCTTGGTTGCAATACACTGTAAATTATGTTTTAAGTTCATGCTGAATGCCTGGCCCCCCGGATTGTCTGTGCATGTGGTTGCTGAGTGTTACTGCAATACTGATATACTTGCAGGTGGTTTTGATTTAATTCACAGTGACTTTATGCAACTCAGCCAGACGGAGTAAAGTGCAGATTTATGACCCTGACACCTCAGAATCTGACCTACTATTGCTTTTGCTCGCTGTTGGTGAGAGGGTGTGGACGCCTGCAGCCCATACGCTCTGTGTGCTGTTGTGCATGTGTTTACATGTGCATAGGTTTAAACATGCTTTTCTATTCATGAGACGTTCACTAATCAGGCTTAGAGGGTTGGTGGAAGAGTGTCACACAAAAACGACATTACCTTTTTACATAATTTAAAGACTCCAGTCTCCCTTTACACAAATTCGTTCAGAGTGGGGAATGAATTAAATGGTTCATTGTAAAGAAGCTTGTTTATTTAATAACATTGCTATTTTATTTACTATCTAAAACCACCAGTGAAGTAAATCCAGCTCAGATGTGTTGGCCTATGTAGCATTTTTGTTAGCTTAACAAATAATTAGAAAATTATTGAAGACTAAATAGTAAGGTAGCAAAACAACAGTATGCATCTTGTTAATGTATCTGATGTTCAATGAACTGAAGCTTTTAAAGTCAACCAGGTCACTGGCTTTTTAGAAGAGCATTTCTTTACAGTGTTTTAAACAATTTTGGACATGTAAATAACATCTCTGAGCGTTTGTCCCATCATCAGTAGATCCTGAGTTCAAACTGCAGTAATGCCACAGCCATCCATAAGTGGGAGCCCAAGAGGAGTAAAAGCCTGGTGGCGCTGTGCGACGGAAAAAGTCCCAGCTTTCATACTCATGTTTACCTGACACCTGAGACATGTTTACCTGAGATACAGTCCTTGAAAATGTTTGACTAAGTTAAGAAGTTTGAGTGTGAACTGTGGGGTCCTTCAGTTGAGTTAACTCAGAAAAGCTGCCTTATCATTTTAAGTTGAACAGACTTTTCATTTTTCACATTGCACACATGGTGCCTCCACCATGAATGGAGTTTAAGGCCAATATCTTCTCAAAACTATCATAAAACAGTGTCTCAGTCATCAGGCAGTGAATTCATAACCATTTCATGTAGGAACTTTCTGTGAGGGAGCTTTTAGAGGTGGACGTCTGGTTCCTATCACCACCACTGTGAACAGTTCTGACTCAGTAAGTTTCTCTAGAAACACCAAACCACTCTGAACCACTCTGAATGACTCTGTTTACAGATTAACCAGTTAGTTATACAGAACTCTGAAGAATTATTATTCAATACCTACTGTAAAACGAATGCACTGCAAAAATAGCATCTTGTCAAATAAAATTAGCTTGAATCTATTCAATATATCTAATATTTCTCCTGTTGAGATTGTTGTAGGCTTATTTTAAGATTATTTTAACTTATTTCCAAACATTTGTTACTTGTTTTAAGTCATTTTTATTAAGAAAAATTCTCACTTTATTGGTGAGAAACCAGCAAAATTATCTGCCAGTATAGTGAGATAATTTTACTTAATAAAATACTTCAAACAGGGAAAAAATGTCTAGAAATATACTAGATATCCTTAAAATAAGTGCACAACCATCTCAAAATAAGAAATATTAGATATATCAACTAGATTTAAGACTTACTTGACAAGACACGATTTGTGCAGTGTGTAAATGCTCTGTATGAGAGTGAGGAACTGCAGTGTGGAACCCTTACAGACCTTTAGGGGTAAAGAAGTTAAGGACTGACATTCTTTATCGTATCATTTTTAGCACAATGTCCTTACCTCACCCAGCTTAGAGGAGCAGAATGAAAATTTATGACAGCTGACGCTTCAGAATCTGATATGCTCCTGTTTTGTTAAGCTTTTGTTGGGTGGGTGTGGACACCTGCAGCCCATATGCTGTTTGCCTGTGTGGTTTTGTGTAGTTTTGTGCATGTATGTATTTGCCCTGGGGGGTGGGAGTAGGCTGAGTAATCCTCCCCTCCTCTCGCTTTCACTCTCCTTCATTCCCTCCCCTCTTCAACTGTATAAAAACATGCCGGTCCTCATCTCCGCACTCACTCCCTCTTCAGCCAGAGCAGAGTAACAGAAATCCTCCAGCAACATGGCATCCTTCTCCAACTACAGCTTCAGGTCCTCAGGAGGATCTGGCGGCTCCATGCGTCTGTCCTCCGGAGGAAATGTGGGTGCCAGGAGGGCCGCTAGCGTGTACGGAGGTGCAGGAAGCGGTGGGGTTCGCATCTCCAGCAGTTCTGCTGTCCGTTCCTTTGCTGGGGCTGGAGCAGGTGGCTTTGGCTTCGGAGGTGGCGCCGGAGGTGGCGCCGGAGGTGGCGCCGGAGGTGGCTTCGGAGGTGGCGCCGGAGGCGGCTTCAGCCTGTCCGATGCGATTGACGTGTCCGCCAACGAGAAGGCCACCATGCAGAACCTCAATGACCGTCTGGCCTCCTACCTGGAGAAGGTGCGCTCCCTGGAGAAGGCCAATGCTGAGCTGGAGCTGAAGATCCGCCAGTTCCTGGACAGCAAGACATCTCCCAAGTCTCGGGACTACTCTGCATATTACGTCACTATCAGTGACCTCCAGGGCAAGGTATGTCAAAGTGTTTAGGTGGTATAAACCACAGCTTCAACCCTTGAAACTTTAAGGATCCATAACATTAGTTCCTGCATATCTTGCATAGTAGTTACCAAATAACTCATGGTAAATACAGAATAAATAAACCTTAAGATTCATAAACACTCAAACTGATCCGATCTATCCTTTGCAATCAGGTAAGCAATGCAGACGCTTAAAATCAGGAAACTTTATTGTTCTTTACATTCAGTATAACATTCCTGGGTTGACCTCTTCACATTGCAATGTCGATTCATCTTTGAACACAGTATCCCACAGTGAACACTACACCCAGTGCCACACCCCACCATTCATTATCAAGCAAAGCAATCCTACCTAGACCTAAACAAAGGCTAAAGCTCAAATGAACCTCAATAATGCTTAAGTAGTTGATATATTTGGTTTTAAATTGCATGGAGCACCAGAGGGGAGAGCTTCAAATCTCCATAAGATCCAGCCCAAAGGGGTCAACAAAGGACATCTAGCTGTCAGCTGACCTTAACCTGTTACTCGCTCATTTCTCTTCTTCAGATCCAGGATGCCACACGCGTCAACGGAGGTATCTACCTCAGCATCGACAATGCCAAGCTGGCCGCAGATGACTTCAGGGTCAAGTAAGTCCATGTGAACCTAAAGCAAGACCTGGTATTGCTCATAATACGGAAAGTTCCTGACCCATCCCTGTCTTCTGTAGGTATGAGAATGAGCTGGCCATGAGACAGTCTGTGGAGGCCGACATCGCTGGGTTGAGGAAGGTTCTGGATGAGCTGACCTTGGCCAGGTCTGACCTGGAGATGCAGATTGAGGGTCTGAAGGAAGAGCTGGTGTTCCTCAAGAAGAACCATGAGGAGGTGAGTGTGAGAAGGCATGTGTAAAAAGAAAGGCAGACCCATCATTTGCTCTCGATTGAGGGCTGTGGGTGTTGAGATGCCTTTTAAAGTCAACAAAGTTTGACACTGTCCCTGCATCTTCAGGAACTCCTGGCCATGCGCGACCAGATGAGCGGACAGGTCCACGTAGAAGTTGACGCCAAACCACAGGAAGACCTCAACAAAGTCTTGGCTGAAATCCGTGAGCACTACGAGTCCGTCGCCGCCAAGAACCGCAGAGATCTTGAGGCGTGGTTCCAGACCAAGGTAACATTTAACGTGCTCTCTGAACAAGGAGCAGGAGGTCTTCCAAAAACTGCTTTGTCTCATTGGACTGTGTTGCGCACATCTTTCCTCACAGACCGAGACGTTGAACAAAGAAGTCGCCAAAAGCACAGAAACCCTCCAGACAAACCGGTCAGAAGTCACAGAAATCAAGCGCACACTGCAGGGGCTGGAAATCGAGCTTCAGTCGCAACTCAGCATGGTGAGCACCTGCAAAAATTCATTGAAATGGAACCTCACAGTGGGTTCTTCTGGGACTCATTTACCAAACTGATTTCTCCTTAACAGAAAGCGTCACTCGAAGCTACACTGGCAGACACACAGGCGCGCTACGCTTCCATGCTAGCTGGCTACCAGATGCAGGTGTCCAGTCTAGAAGAGCAGCTGGTGCAGCTCCGCGCTGATCTGGAGCGCCAGGGTCACGAGTACCAGATGCTGCTGGACATCAAGACCAGACTGGAGCTGGAGATCGCGGAGTACAGGAGACTGCTGGATGGAGAGGCCAGCAGCAGGTGAGGCCCCACAGGAACACAGAATCTACTGCAAATACATTCCAACATGTAGATGCAACAAATTAGAACAGAGTTCACACTGGAAAACTGAATATATTAAAAATATGTTGTCAACATATGTCAAAACATATATATAGTAAAATATAGTTTCCAATGAGTGCACATTGGAAAATAAAATATATTGTAAATATGTTGTCAATATATGTCAAAGCATAAACGTAATGAATGTATTTTCAGATGATTCCTCATTGGAAAATGGAATATATTGAAAATACGTTGACAATACATGTCAAAACATAAATATATTAGAATATATTTTCGCCATGGCAAAATAAAATATATTGTAAATAAGTTGTCAATATATGTCAAAACATAAATATCATATATTAGGATATATTTTCAGATGAGCCCACATTGGAACATGGAATGTACTGCAGATTTCTTGTCAAATTATGTCAAAATTCAAATACAATATATTAGAATTTTGTTAATATATAAAAAACAGTACATACAGTATATAGTCCACATAGTAACAAATAGAATATATTGCAACATATATATCATTCTGAAACATCAATAATCTTATATATTTTCAATATAATACATCATTGCTCAAGCAAAGCGAGAGCAAATCCAAATCCACTGAAAGCCGTTTTCATATCTCGACCCAAAGCTCCTCGATTTGGTGGAGCAGGAGACGCTGCTCCTCAGAGCAGCACTGAGATGTTTCAGAGCTCCTTGTGTCTGACTCCTCTTCCTCTGTCCCTGCAGCTCCACCATAACCTCAGCTGCAGCCTCGGGCTCCAGCTCCAGCACCAGCACGACGCGCAAAGTGGTGACCATTGTGGAGGAAGTGGTGGATGGCAAAGTGGTCAGCTCCACCTCCAAGGCTGTGAGTGAGACCTTGTGAGGAGATCACAAGTCCGGCGAACACGAGCACCCTGAGCATCCGGGAACCCGGCACTGAGTGATGCACAATCAATAAAGTGTTCGGATCATTGATTACACTCGTCTGATTGTGTTTATTTCAAAGCATTCTACTGTTAGCAGAGTGCAGATTTTACCATCAGCGCCACCTGCTGGAAATTGCCAGAACTGAAAATAAAATAAATAGTATATTAGATATGAAAACATATAGAATTTCAGCAAACAAGGCCACACATAGTACAGAACTGTCTCAGTGCAGCGAAATATGTAGCAGCAACCAATGTGTTTTTATAAGACCTTAACAAGGGTCTGAAAACAGTGCTGAATGCAGATTTCTGTCATTATCGCCACCTACAGGGGTACAACAATATTAGAGCAAAAATCACTTTGTAATAATAATAATAATAATAATAATACACGCACACTTTCTGAAAATAATAATAATAATAATAATAATAATAATAATAATAATAATTTCTAGAGTACATTTCATTGCAGTGGCAGCTCAAACTGCTTTAAAGACATGAAGCTTAACAGTAACAAGAAATTGAAGTTGGGTTTGATTATCTTCTATAATAGTTACTGTTCAACAACAAATGGTATAAAAGGCAGATATAACATTATTTTATAAGCTGAGGCATTAAAGTGCAATTATGTTGTATTATTTATGTCATACAATAAATAAGAAAGAGAGGGGAGGGAAACATATATATATATATATATATATATATATATATATTTGTACAGTGGTGCTTGAAAGTTTGTGAGCCCTTTACAATTTTCTATATTTCTGCATAAATTTGACCTAAAACCTCATCAGATTTTCACACAAGTCCTAAAAGTCGACAAAGAGAACCAAATTAAACAAACAAGATAAAAATATTAGACCTGTTCATTTATTTATTGAGGAAAATGACCCAGTATTTCATATCTGTGAGTGGCAAAAGTATGTTAACCTTTAGGATTAGCAGATAATTTGAAGGTGAAATTAGAGGTGTTTTCAATCAGTGGGACGGCAATCAGGTGTGAGTGACCACCCTGTTTTATTTAAAGCACAGGGATCTGTCACAGTCTGACCTTCACAACCCATGTTTGTGGAAGTGTATCACCACATGAACAAAGGAGATTTCTGAGGAAGAAGAAGAAGAGCTGTTGATGCTCATCAGGTTGGAAAGGGTTACAAAACCATCTCTTAAGTTTGGCCTCCACCAATCACAGTCAGACAGACTGTGTACAAATGGAAGAAATTCAAGTCCCTCTTTATGCCTCCCAGGAGTGGCTGACCAACAAAGATCACCCGAAGAGCAACGGTGTGTAATAGGAACCCACAGAGGAACCCAAGGTAACTTCTAGACAACTACAGGTCTGCCTCACAGTGGCTAATGTTAATGTTTATGAGTCCACCATCAGGAGAACACTGAACAACAATGTTGTGCATGGCAGGATTGCAAGGAGAAGCTGCTGCTCTCCAAAAAGAGCAGTGCTGCCCGTCTGCAGTTTGCTAAAGATCACATGGACGAGCCAGACGGCTATTGGAACAATGTTTTGTGGACGGATGAGACCAAAATAGATCTTTTTGGTTTAAATGAGAAACATTATATTTGGACTATATTTGGAAAACACTGCATTCCAGCATAAAAACCTCATCCCATCTGTGAAACATGGTGGTGGCAGTATCATGGTTTGGGCCTGTTTTGCGGCGTCTGGCCCAGAATGGCTTACTATCATTGATGGAACAATGAACTCTGAATTATACCAGCAAATTCTAAAGGCAAATCTCAGAACATCTGACCGTGAGCTGAAACTCAACAGAACGTGGGTCATGCAGCAAGACAACGACCCTAAGCACACAAGTCGTTCTTCCAAAGAATGATTAAAGAGTAAAGTTACTGTTTTGTAATGGCCGAGTCAAAGTCCTGACCTTAATCCTATAGAAATGACCTGAAGCAGCAGTTCATGGGAGGAAACCCACCAACATAACAGAGCTGAAGCTGCTTTGAGGGCTAAAGTTCCACCAAAACTCCACCGATGTGCAGGACTAATCAACAGTGACCGGAAACGTTTAGCTGCAGTTACTGCTGCACAAGGGGGTCACACCAAGAACTGAAAGCAAAGGCTCACGTACTTTTGCCACTCACGATGTAATATTGGATCATTTTCTTCAATAAATAAATGACCAAGTCTAATATTTTTGTTTCATTTGTTTAATTTGGTTCTCTTTCTCTACTATTAGAACTTGTGTGAAAATCTGTTGATGTTTTAAGTCAAATTTATGCAGAAATAATGAAAATTCTAAAGGCTTCTCAACTTTTCAAGCACCACTGTAAATATATATATATATACTAGATTTCGTACTGACTCAGTCATAGTGATGCACTGCCTGCCTCCATACACAAAATACGCAAGTGCCTTAATGACATCATATTTCAGGCTCAGTCATGCTGGAACAGGAAAGGTTCTCCCCCAAACTGTTCCCACAAAGCTGGAAGTGTATAATTGTCCAAAATGTCTTGGTGCTGAAGCTTTAAGGTTTCCCTTCACTGGAACTAAGGGTTCTAGATAAACCCCTGAAAAACAGCCCCATATCATCATCCCTCCTTCACCAAACTCTACAGCTGCACAGTGCAGTCAGGCAGGTAACGTTCTCCTGGCATTCGCCAAACCCAGACTCTCCATCAGACTGACAGATAGAGAAGCTGATTGGTCACTCCACAGAATGCGTTTCCGCTGCTCCAGCGTCCAGCAGTGGCGCTTTACTCCACTCCAGCCGACGCTTGGCATTGTGTTTGGTGATGTAAGGCTTGTGTGCAGCTGTTCGGCCGTGGAAACCCTGCCATGAAGCTCCTAATGTGCAGTTATTTTGCTGATGTTGTTTCCAGAGTCAGTTTGGAGCTCTTTAGTGATTCAACAGAAGACAGGCACTGTGTACTTCAGCACTCTGCGTCCTGCTCTGTGAGTTTGGTGGTCTACAGCTTCGTGGCTGAGCTGTTGTTCCTACTTGGTGCTTCTATTCCACAATAATAGCACTTACAGTTGTCGGGGCAGATCTAGCAGGGCAGAAATTTCACAAACTGACTCGTGGCAGAGGCGGCATCCTATGACAGCCTCATGTTTAAAGTCACTGAGCTCTTCGGTGCGACCCTCTACTGCCAGTGTTTGTCTATGGAGACTGCAAGGCTGTGTGCTTCATTCTATCCTCCTGTTAGCGATGGGTGTAGCTGAAACACCTGAACCCAATAATTAGGAGTGTCCCAATACTTTTCTTCATATAGTGTGTATATATGGAATATTTCACGTATTCAGGTGCCATATTTTGCTGTTGATGAGGCAGATTTTTGCCTCATATTAGCATTTACATCTCATTTTCAATTTATTGTACTAGTTTTTGTGAACAGCTTTTTTGCAGTGTTTTTTATGACATAAATTAAAGATGAATCATGATGATGAGCTGCAAGGGCAGTAGAGGGCGCTACTGTTCCCTTTTCATTCACATCTCACAGAAGAATGTGGAGTTAAGACTACTTTTCTGTATCTTAGTCTGTGTTATTGTGTTAATCTAAGCGAATTCCTTCATGTTTGTTAGTCTGTCCAGTGAGCTTGCTGGCTCTCAGTGCTGAGATCGGCTGGTTACAACAAGCTTTGGTAAAAGTTTACTTAAAGGGGAACTCCACCGAATTTTTAAACATTTCTATATAATTAAGTGGTTAAGATGTAAACAGAGTCACTCAGAGCGGGTTGATGTGAAACTTACAGAGTCAGAATTAAGACATTGTTTTACAACAGTTTTAAGACGGTTTTGGCCTAAAACGTTTATTTTAATCCATTCATGATGGAGGGATACATGCAGGGCGCTGTGAGGCAAAATAGTCCCCAAAGAAAACTTATTATTTCAGATTTTCCACTATTTTCCATCATCAACATTCATATAAACTCAGAAGACTCGTGTAGGTTCACTGGTGGTTCTGGATAGTAAATAAAATGTCTATATTTGTGTTGTAGTCATGGCGACCCCTGGTTCCTATCACCACCACTGTAAAGACATCTGAACCATTTCACACCAAACCACTCTGAATCACTCTGTTTACATCTCACACACTGAATTATGGGGGAATTTGGGGAAATGCAAGGATTTCGCTTTTAAATTGTTTAAATTTGTTCCTGTTGGTTTTGCCATGTTTGTGTTCTGCTGGGGGGGTATGTTTGCCCCTTTTGTGGACTGTGTCGATCTGTCACTCCTTCAGTTTCTCACTGTTGTCAGATGTGACAGTTAGCCTGTTGTAGCTGCTTGAGTGACTCTACCCAGCTGATTACTTTGTCTGCTTACTTTTATTTCTTACAGATATTCTGTCATTTCTCTGACGCTTGTTGCCAAACTGCATGCTAATTCTAATATGTGCATCCTCCACTGGGGGGCGCCACACACCCCAGGCTGATAGCCTCTGGCCACGCCCTAATGCCTGAGCTCAGCAGGCAAAAGCTCTGCAACACAGTGGAGGGAAGTGTTAACCCTTAATGTAATCAAGTCTCTGAACACTAGCACTGTTCTCACAACGACCGAGTAATACACACTTAAACAGAGGGTTGTTCACAGGGTGCTTTACTAAAGACAATGGTTCTATTTAGAACCACGAGTTCTATTTAGAAGCATTTCATGCTTAAACGGTTCACCACCTTTGCATGGTGAAATGGTTCTTCAGATTGATGGACAATGTGTTGTATTTGGTTCTATCTAGAATCTTTTTGAAAAATGGTTCTACACTCTTAAAAAGATGGTTCTTCAAGGGTTCTTTAGTAAAGAAAATGGTTCTTTATAGGACCATAAAGGCTCAAAGGACCCTTTGCATGCTTGAATGGTTCTCTGCACGGTGAAATGGTTCTACAGATTGAATGAGAATGTGTTGTATACGGTTCTATATACAACCTTTTTGAGAAATGGTTCCACACTTATAAAAAGATGGTTCTTCAAAGGTTCCTCAGCAAATAAAATGGTTCTATATAGGACTGTGAACACATGCTTAAATGGTTCTTTGCATGGTGAAAACGTTCTTCAGATTGATTGAGAATGTGTTGTATTCGTG